TTTCAAAAAGCACTTTATGATCATAACTACCTTAACTTTGTCAGTCCTATCTTCACCTCAAATGTTTAAAGTATCATATTCAGATTCTACTTACAGAAGATGAAGTTCCATCTATACCCTGACATTGTGTACCATCACCTTGAACTGAAGATGAATCCTCAGGAAGACCCTTCAAATACACAAAAATCCATTAGCTTTCACATCTGACCAATTACAAGCATTAGCAAGGCTTGATCAAACATTGATGGATCGAAAGCTTGAAGCTGTGCACTTTTAAGGAATGCTCCAATTTATTTTTACTACCCTGATATGATAATAATATGTGAAAACACATCCAAATTTTCAACAAAAACGAACTGTTTGAAAAAAAAATACAAAAGACAGTACCTAGTCTTTACCGTACCTACATAAAATCTTGCACATAACTGATAAATTTTTGTACACTTTAAGCAATATGAAAATGCTAATTTTGTTAAAACTTACATATACCTTATTCTGTTTATTGTTTGTCGTTGAAAAGCTGGGCAAATCAGGCAAGTTTTCATCAGAATCAGAACTCACAGGCTGAATTAATATAATTAATACAACATTTCATTTATGGAAACATAGAGGTAAATATAAATTAAATAACCATAGACAGAGCTCCAGATAATTTTATCTGCAATATCTGGATAAAGTTTTTTTTTCCGACAACTGTCAATTATCGTGCAATTTCTTGTTACTCTTGAGGACAGCATTAGATATTAAGTTACTTAAAATACCATTGATAATTGCCTCAGGAAAAGGGGAAGTTTTGGATCATGAAAAGAAAGCACGACATCATTTGTCTGACCACTAAGATAGTGAATTTTACAGGCAGGTACTGTAATATGTAATCTGCTGCTAATATTTTTGCGGGAACCAAGCTTATTTCAATGCAGATGTTTTCGGCTGTATCAAATGCCTAGGAGTTCAGATGTGAAGTAATTTAATAAAAAAGGTTGTAGGCCTGAGTGATTAATTGCTATGCATCTGAACAACAAACCGTGATTAATTCTACCACAAAACACACAAAATCAAAATCTATTTCCATTCTAACATGTTAATAAAAACAGAATCAATAAAAATGGGTTGAACTACATTGAGCGGACAAGTAATTTTCCTTTAAATCTACCTATGTGAGCTGACTGGTTGCTTTTATTTAACAAAGCGACTGATTACTCCTTTATGATAAGCATTGATTTTGAAAAATGTAAATATTCACAGAAATAGATAGAAATATATACCTTTATGGAAGTGTGAAGATACCATCTGACAGGATGACTTTGAACATTCTCAAAGTATTGACCTACTGTTAGATCTTTTCCTGTTATTCTTTCATCTGTAAACGTTGCAAGATGATAGTTTAAATCTGATAGGTTCAATAAAAGATCTGATTATTTTCTAAAGATTAAGAATAGTAAAATGAGTTCGTATTGGCGTATATCTTCATAGCATAACAGTATCAAGAATTGAATGTACCGGTACGCTCTCAAATATTTGGGAAAAGTTGCGTTCTTCAATGAATACATGAAAGAGTCTATAATGCATGTGTGTAATTAATTTTAATTGCATGTTTATAGAGTGTTTAAATTGTGTTTGAAGGTGGAAACATGCAACACGCATTGAATGTACGTTCAAATAGACTATCAAGCATTGAATGTACGCTCTCAAATATTTCGAAAAATGTTGCTTTCTGCTATAAATAAATTCAATAATCTATGATGATTTGAGGTAATCAAAAGAAATTTAATGTTTTAGGGTGTTTTCAATATGTTCGGAAAAGTTGCATTATGCAATGAAAAAAAATGCAGGAATATGTAATGGTTTGGTGCAATCAAAAGAAATTAAATGTTGAAATGATATTTTAACTGTATTTAAAGTTGTTAACATGCTATACGCATTGAACGTACGTTACAAATACAGTATCATGTATTGAATGTACGCTCTCAAATATAATGAAAAAGTTCTGACATGCCATGAATAAATACAAGAATATGTAATTGTTTGGTGTACTAAAAAATAAATAAATGTTTCAACTAGGTTTTCAATGTGTTTATACATTATTCAAATAAAATGAAGGAATTTATCATTTTTGATATTTACCGAGATTGTGAACAACAAAGTTTATACAATATGCAAAATATAATAGAGACCGGAGGAGACCGCAGAAGACCAGAGACCGGACCGACGAATAGTATAGCCCGTTAAGACCGCCTACTTATGAATTATTCAATGTACATTCATTGGGAGCGTACGTTCAATGTGTAAGATTAAATGTTGACGCACGTGGTTGTTATGTTAATTCCCGGTGAGTAAGTAAATTTTGACCAAGCACCGGTAGACGCACGACAATGCGATACGATATTATTCCAAATGTCGCTTCGCATTGTCGAGTGTCGCTTCGCGTTTTCGAGTATCGCTTCGCGTTGTCGAGTGTCGCTTCGCATTGTCGAGTGTCGCTTCGCAATGTTGAGCGTCGCGGTGTAAAAATCATAAAAATAACGCGACATTTACTCGACATTTTAAAAATGTCGCTTCGCGATGTCGAGTGTCACTTCGCATTGTCGAGCGTCGTATCGCATTGTCGCGTTGTCGTTTCGCATTGTCGAGTGTCGTGGTATGCACTTCTACCAACCTCGACACTCGACAATGCGAAGTGACAATGCGACAACGCGAAGTGACATCGCGACAACGCGAAGTGACATCGCGACAACGCGAAGCGACGCTCGACAATGCGAAGCGACACTCGACAACGCGAAGCGACATTTCTTAAATGTCGCCCTTTTTTACCGCGACATTTCTAGGCGACAGTGCGACATATCGTTTGACACTGTCGAGCGTCGCTTCGCATTGTCGCATATCGCTTCGCGTTGTCGAGCGTCGCTTCGCATTGTCGCGATGTCACTTCGCATTGTCGTGTGTCTACCCTTAGACGCGACGGACGACATTATAAATGGCACGATAAGGACACCGTACATTACAGCACTTTCGCCGGTTTTCTGCTTCAGCAAAATGTTTCTGACCAAGTTGTTGCCGGACGGAAGTAAACAGTGGAAATTAAATCTTTGTTTTATCATATAGTTTATTTTAATAAACGTACAAGCATTGCAGATTTAACTATTTATTTCGTAATTATAACGTATGATTTTATTAAGTATTCCGAACTTAATTTATTGAATCATGTAAGTCATATACATGAATTAACACTTTGACCAGAATCACTCCTTTTTTTAGATTAAAAGATATATTTAAAGATAGATTAAAATTCTCGCTTAAATGAGAAATAAACATTTATAAACAAACTTTGCCAACAGGATGTGTGTTTGTTTTCAGCACAACTGTATAAAATAGAAGCAATTTTCATATGCGTTTAGTCTTTTTTTACCACAGGCACGAGTATCGGACCTGGGAAGAAAAAATATGACCAGATTGATAAAAAAACCTGTTTTCATCTTAAAAGTGTCAAAAAAACCCCAAAAATTTAAATAATGACCCCCTTTAAAAATATACTATAAGTTAAGAGAAGGCCCGGAAACTCCAGATTCGAGACTACGAGCAAGGGATTCATTTCCCGGGCCGTTGCGAAAACAATTGGCCAGAGAATTAAATAAAACTTTTACCACTATTTCACGTTTATATTAAGCTTCAAAATGAGACCAACCCCAAGTCTCTAGCCCTTCCCGTTCATGAAATATCTATCAGGAAACGAGCGAATTTGTGCTAAAAATCCTTGGTAGACAGAATTGCGGCACAACAATTCGGTACGTAAACATAGACTAATACATGTATGTCAGCTGAGTACGGGTCAAAATCACTTGAATTTACTAAATAATATTACTAAATACATTAAGTTGGACCACTCACAATTGTCAGGAGCGTCTGATACACGCAAATTCGAATTTCAAACCTTTTCACGGTCTTTACATTCCTTTCTACACCATTGTCAATCAGCTGTTCGATATTTTGTAACGAGTCTTCTGATTGGCCAATAGCAACGAAAACCGCAACGTTTCACACAAGGATGCCTAATGGCGTAGAAAGCGAGTGAAATACCGTGTAAATGTTTGAAACTCGAATCTCGTGTGTAATAGATGCTCCTGACAATTGTGAGTGGTCCAACTTAATGTATTAAGTAATATCATTTACTAAATTCACGTGATTTGGACCCGTACTCAGCTGACATACATGTATTAGTCTATGATTACATACCGAATTGTTGTGCCGCAATTCTGTCTACCAAGTTTTTTTTAGCACGAATTCCTCGTTTCCTGATAGATATTTCATGAACGGGATGGGCTAGAGACTTGGGGTTGGTCTCATTTTGAAGCGTTATATAAACGTGAAATAGTGATAAAAGTTTTATTTAATTCTCTGGCCAATTGTTTTCACAACGGCCCGGGAAATGAATCCCTTGCTCGTAGGCTCGAATCTGGAGTTTCCGGCCTTCTCTTAACTTATAGTATATTTTTAAAGGGGGTCATTATTTAAATTTTTGGGTTTTTTTTTTTTGACACTTTTAAGATGAAAACAGGTTTTTTTTTTATCAATCTGGTCATATTTTTTCTTCCCAGGTCCGATACTCGTGCCTGTGTTTTATACTATTGGAATAAGTCTTAATAAATATATTAAATTCAGTAACACTCCCTGTTCATAGTTCTTTGATATTGTAGAAAACGTGTCGTTGAATTACTAGCAGCGCCATTAATAGTCATAAGGCAACTCCCTGCCTAATATGGAGTACACATGTTTAGTATGTCTATGGTTTCAGACTCAAAACATATTTATGTCAAGACTTTTTACACTTTAAACTTGATAAAGAATCTGCAAGAATTTTCCATGAATAATTGTTGATGTTATTAAAAGAGATATTTACCAGGCCAAATGAAAAGTAATTTTAAATTCGTAAAATAAATGTATGATTTTAAAAAGAGACGAAACAAATGATGCGACACAGCAAAGCTTGAATAAATTGCGCGACAATAAACGGGATGAAAAAACTTTAAGACGGTGCTGTATACAAGGGTGTATAAGAAAAAAAGCTACAATTAAAACGTACGAATTGAATTACAACTGAAACATGTTGTTACATTACAGATGGTTTCATAACAAAGGAATAAGAGCAACAGACTAGTACAATGTGATCCATACATTTGGTTGATATACTTTTAGCCAATTTAAGTATACAGATGAAGTTGTCGGACTGATTTTGAATCGTGTAGAAGAGATTTCATCTCAAAATGAGGTTCAACAACGAATGATATTGAATCAATTGAATCGCATAGAGCATTTAGAGAGACAAGATTACAACCAACAGCAGCTAAATATGAATTTGCAGAAATAATTTTCTGTCCAACGCCAGCGTACAAGCTCTCTGGAAAGATTGAGCGATCGTATGAGAAACATGGATACAACATGTTCAAAGAAAAACAACCCAGTCGGATATTGTTGTCAACATAATTATTATAGATGATAAGGAAAATAAACCGGAAAAGAAGGTTGTCACTGCTGCAGGCTTGTTAAACGTTACAGATAATAAAAGTACAGAAATACTTGAATGTAATTTAACATATCTACTATCATTAGGCTACATATCAATATTTATAATACAAGGCGCAATCATTGATCTGCAGTTGTTTAAATATATCGTTATGATTTTTTTTCGTTAATTTTAGACATGCAAAACACCTGCGCTAGGTTAAGACGAGTTGAAAACGAACAAAACGTAGCTTTCTGTCACATTATCTAACCAAATGGAACACGCTGGAGTTGGTCAGACATTTGTTTTTGACAGAGTAGTTACTAACGTTGGCAATTGCTACAACAACTTAAATGGAAACTTTGTTGCCCTGTATCCGCTTTCTCGTTACCACAACAATGCTCATGATAAATTGGTGAAGAAGTCATGTAAGCTTCATGTACGTCATCAGAAGCTGGATATGACACTTCAATCCAAACATTAGTTCTGGAGCTTAAGAAATCGGATGACATATTCATTCAAAACAACGATGCCAATGCTGCCTTCCATGGTTGTCATTTCAACTCTTTCTTTGGATTTTAGCTCCAACAAAATGTCTCAGATCAAATTGCAGTTGGACGATAAACTGTAGAGATGAATAAAACTGCGATTAACTACCAGTTTGACCCTTCCGTGCATAATTTCAGCCACGAACTGTCACCTGAGTAGAATCACCGGCATTCCATTAGCTAGCTAGATCGCTTACTCACATGAACAATACAAAGTCCCTGGCGGGATGCGAATCTACAGCGATGAGTGGCATGTGATTTGATGTAAACGACTTTTAATCATTCGGCCGCGGATGTCCCATATGATAAATCTTACTTTCAAATAGAAAAGTATGAAAAACCCTGTATAAAACGTTCTATTTAAACCCTTATCACTTAAATATAATGGTATCTACCTCACTTTTTTTATCTGAGTCATTATCAAATGTGTGGTTTACCCCTACCCAAAATTTACATTAGTACATTATTTTGATGGGAATTTTTGGGTTTGGGTTGTTTTGATTTTTTGTTATACATCAATTAATCTAAATAGCTCGATATTGCATTAGGATACAAATAATGTCAATTACCAAGATTGCAAGAAAAAAATATTTAAAATTTTTTTGGGGAAAAAATAAAAAAAAGAACCCCTAAGAAAGCCCACCTGAAAATAAAATTTTGCGGGCTGGGTTTGATTGAACCTTTTCGGGAGGGTACTGTAAAGTCCAAACTACGTCCCGCCCCCAACCCCGGGCTTAAGCAAAATTAACTTTTAACATGAACGGGGCAATTTTAAATTTTTTAAAAACTCCCGATGTGTTCATATGGGGTTATAAGGGAACTTCAATGTGACACGTAAGTGCCATTATAAAAAAGGGGGATATGGTCCCCAAATAAAAAATCTGTGTGCCCTAAACGATAAAACAATGAGCGGGAACTACATAAAATGGAATTTTGGAAAGGGATCAGAGGTCATGAAGCATATGTAGGCTTCATAACCTCTGAAAAACAACATCAATTTAAAAAGCCCCACTTTCAACATCAAGAGATTCTTATTAACAGAACGAAAGATCAGAAAATCTTTACATGAGTCGATTTAAACTTTCTCTATTAAATTTATTTATCTTCTTTTTCTTTCGTCGTAAAATAACGCATCATGTAATAATAGCTTATGAAACCCGACCAATTTTCAAATGTATGCAGTAGATTTTGTAACTCGACACGGTAGTGAATGTGTTGTAATAATTCATGCTCCACATACAAAAACACTAGCCTTGTAACGTTTTAAAACGTATAAGATCGGTGATAAAAATTGTCAAAAACTTAATATTGATTTCTTGGAGATTAATTAGAACAAATATTTCGTTTAACTGTTTCAAATTATTGCGGTAGTGGTGGTTCAGAATGGACACTTAAATAACACCTTCAAATAAATTAAAATTGGTTATATAAAGGGATACTAAAATAACACCACAATTAAATCGTTTTAATGATGTAAGGAATAAGAATATTGAAGAGTTTGAAACAAATAAAGTAAAGCAATCCATTAGATATTATTATTCACTTGGTAATTGTAGAAATAATATGCGTCATTAATAATTGTATATTGACATTTAGTACAAGTGAGTACAGCTATGTTAGATAGATTTATTTATTAGATTACTATTTTACGATTGCTGTAATGCATTTTATAATGATTTCTTTTATAATTTGGTTGAAATATTGAATATCATAATGTCATAGTTATTTCAAACAATAACAGGCAACATCTTCAATTTTATTGTATTTGTAAATTATTGTTATTCGTAACATATAACAGTAACTTATATTGGTCTTAATGTAGTTTTTATAAAAACAAAAATAGATGAATTGATATTGTCTAATAAACAAAAAGCACTCAGGGCATCGTTTAAATGAAGCTGTGATCAAATACAAATTTCTTGCAGATTAATGGAGATACAGCTGAAGGCTTCTTAATTAAACAAAGATATCCACAAGACATTTTATATGGTCGTTACTTGCGATATGGTACACATGACTGAAATTAGACTGTTTATTCACAAGATGAGATATTGAGAAACATTTAAATGTATAATCCATTAAATAGACTTAAGTGGAAGTGTATTGATGTTAATGAAGAATTATGTTAAACCAGAACAAGAACGATGATACTTAGTTTTCATTTTATCTGTCTTAAAAGTTTAAGAATTAAGTTAAATGTCATTTTATTAAGTGTCATTATGATAAAAGAGCTGGAAATATTCAATATACAGGATAAAAGGATATTTTTCTTTCCTTTTCATCAAAATTCCAAATTTTATGTAATATGACAGTGTTTTAGAGAATATCAAGTTTAGAAAATACAAGTTTAGAAAATCACGGGGTCACGTTAACGCAAGAGAAACTTGTTGACAAGTTTGTTAAATTTATGTTTGACATATAACTTTTTATATCACCATGACCGTCAACTGGACCGATGGTCATGTATCACTGTTGCCATAATGCAATAAAATGTCTTATCCACATCTACTTCAACTAGACTTTAGCTCTTCGTACAGGAAATACTTTACAAACTCATCAAAATTTGATACAATATTTTGGTAAAACATAAAACAAACAGTACATCGGCTCTATGAGTTGATTAGAAAAAAGTGTCATATTTCATACTTAACGTTTAGTCAACATTAATTAATTTAATGATTCAAATTTAGACACTTAACTGAAAATGAAGGCATTGGTGGAATATGTTTGCATGACAAAATAGTTATTAAAAATAATAACATTTTCTTTCTGTTACTCTACCCTTGAGTTTACTCACAATATATACCGTTATTTTAGCTCAACTGTAGCAAGTAATATGGTTACTAGATATATAGTTGTGATTGCTTTTCGTCTGGCGTTCATTCGTCCATCAGCCGTGTTTCCGTCAATGAACTTTTACGACACATTCTATGAACCACTAAGCTAATTTCATCCAAACTTTATGGGAATATTTCTTGGATGGTCACCCTTAAAATTGTTCAAAGAATCGAATTCAATTCCATGCAGAACTATAGTTGCCATGACACCGAAAAGAAAAACAAATCTCAGATATTTAGCACGAAACATATCCTTGTAAGTCTCTACCTAGTTTGTTCAATTGAAATCCCTTTTGGCCGAAATTCGACCCGCCTTAGGGTTCATTGATTTTCCTTTTATGTATATAGTAAAAACAAACAAAAATCATCTTCTCAAAAGTCCAAATAGTTTCGGCTTTAACATGAAACATCTTCTAGTTGGCCTCTACCAAGTTTGTTCAAATGGAATTCCTAGGGTCAAAATTGGCGCCGCTTCAGGGGTCATTGCTTTCATTAAAAATATATAGGAAAAGTAAATAAAATCTTCTAAGAAAGCCCGGAGCTGGAGCTTAGATATCAAACATGAAAAATCTTTAATGGTTGTCTAGCATGTTTGTTCAAATAAAATCCTTGAGGTCAAAGTTGGCGCCGCCCGTGGTGTAATTTGTTTTCCTTTTATGTTTATATGAAAAGCAAAAAAATCTTCTATTATACTGTAGAGGCTTGAGCGTAGATATTTGGTAACATTGTCTCGTGGACCTCTACAAATATTATTCACATTATAGCCCTCTGGTCAATATTGCCCCGCCGTGGGTGACATAGATTAACTTTATATGTACATGTGTATATAGTTAAAAAAAACAGTGACTTCATACAAGCCATTGATTTTCCATAGCAAACTGTAGCTTTCCATAGCAACCAGCAAACATTGACTTTCCATAGCAATGAGTGAATCTTCCACTGAATTTCATAGCAGGCACTGACTTCAAACATTTATTTTGTATAGCAAACAGTGCCATCTTTTGGAACTGTTGTTTTCTTTTAGCAAGAGCAACCAGTAAAGTTTTTACTTACGTACTATATCAGATACACATATGAACTTTGTGATATCAGTTTAAGATTTAGATTTTTTCTGCTTTCAGTCATAGTTAACAATATTATTTGCCCCTTGTATTTTTTATACAGGTGAGCGATATAAGGGCCATCATGGCCCTCTTGTTTTAGATAATGTTCATATCTAAATTTACCATAATCTTAAATATTTTTACAATATAAAGGTTATACATATTGGTGTAATAAGTGGTCAATGCAAGTCATAAAACAATTAGTTGTAAAGCAGTTAATTAGATTATTGCAGTTGTTCAAAGCTATTTTTCCAAATTAATTCGATACAGGGTCTAAAGTATATTCATGATAAAAGGTCACACTTTCGTGTTCAAAGTTGAAATTTTAATTAAGATAAAGTTTAAATCTACTGATAAGGTAGGTTTCGAAACATTTATAACTGAATGGACGTAAAAATGAGCATCTTTATCTTTTGGATATTGTCAGTTATTTTGTCTATATCTAATGCTACAAAACCTATTGAACATGGTGAAGATAAACTCGATTATTTGCTGAGTCATCTAGAGTCAACAGAAGATGTAGTCCAACAACTTTTGGGTCGTGTGGAGCAATTGGCATCTGACAACGAGGCTCAACAACAAGTGATTTTGAACCAGTTAAATCGTATTGAGCACTTAGAGCAATGTGAGTTCAGTCAACATCAGCTAAATATAAACCTGCAAAGACAACTGGCTGTCCAACGGCAGCGTACGAGCTCGCTGGAAAGATTCAGTGAACGTATGAAAATAATTATTAGCTCATATGTAAACAAGCAGAGAGGAAGTAAGGATAGCGGAGTCAAAGTAAAGCAAATTCAGCCAAATAGTGGTATCAACATGGCAGAAGAAAATGAAAATAGAACACAAGGCCCTGTAGCAACCTCAAAAGGTAGGTTAAACACTACAATGTTAAGATATTGAAATATTACGGAAGATAATTGTGAAAAAATGTTATTGAAGTCGGGTTAATTGAAATATACACTCTTATCATTTTCTGAATACCGACCATATATGTAAATGTAAATAGCATACCTGTTTATAAATTGTTATATAGATATGTTAAAAGGCGTTTAAATTTAATTTCTGGATTCATTAGTTGTAAATTCATGACTGTGATATATTCGAATATGCAAATACATTAATTTAATTTTTTCTTTCAAATTCAAGACATTCACAGTACCCGTGCAAGAATTCGACGTGTTGAAAACGAACAAAACGTGGCCTTTTTTGCCACATTATCTAACCATTTGAACCACGCAGGAGTTGCCCAGACATTTGTTTTCGACAGAGTAGTAACCAACGTCGGCAATGGCTACAACAACTTAAATGGAAACTTTATCGCCCCTGTATCCGGAACATACGTTTTCTCTGTCACGTTGATTTCTCGTTACCACAACAATGGTCACGCTCAATTCGTTAAGAATGGAAGCCCTGTAAGTTACATGTACGTCAGTGGATCAGAAGCGGGATATGACACTTCAAGTCAGACAATAGTGCTAGAGCTTCAAAAAGGGGATGACATCTTCATCCAAAACAACGATGCTGATGTATCTTACTTTGGTGTCCATTACAACTCTTTCTCCGGTTTCCTACTTCAGCAAAATTTTTCAGACCAAGCTGTTATCGGACGGAAGTAAACTTTGTAAATGAAATGAATGTTCAATCATAAAGTTTATTTAATAAAATAACAAGCATTGCAGTTTTAACTATTCATTTCAAAATTTTGTAATGTACGAGATTATAGAGTATTCCGAACTAAATGCATTGTATTTCATAATTTTTTAAAGTCTTCCAAGAATGTATATACAAAGAAAGGCCATACACATGAATTAACACCTTGACAAGAATCACTACTGTTTTTCTAGAATTATCGCTTAAATGAGAAATAACTATTTATAAACAACCTTCGCCAAAAGATTTCTGTTTTCAACAAGCTTTATTAAGAAAAATTAAATTGAGAAATGTTGAACATTTTCTTTGCATCACTCTAGACAGTAACAGTTTTCATTATACATCTATTGAAATCAGTCTAAATGAAAATCTGAAAAACAGTTATATTCCCGTTCGTAGTTCTTTGATATTATTGACAATTTGTTGTTGAATTTCTAGCTGCGCAAATAATAGCATAATTTGGAGTACACATGTTTATTCTGTGTATTGTTTCAGACTCGAACAGGCACGTCAAAACATATTTGTGTCAAAGACTTTTTACAAATAGAATCTGCAAGAATTTCCCATCAATAATTGTTAATGTTGTTCAAAGAGATATTTACCAGGCCAAATTAAAGGTTATTTTGAATTAATGAAATAAGTGTGTTTATTAAAATAAATGATACGACACAGCAAAGATGAAATAAATGGCGCGATATAAGAAGGAATGAAAAAAGCTAGAACTAAAACGGTCGAATGGAATTACAATTAATAGTAATATAGCGAATGTTTTCATAACAAACGAATAAGAGAAACAGATTAATACATTGTGATCCGAATATTTCATTGATATTCTTGTAGCGAAATTAATTAGAATTAGAACAGCGTCTTATTTCGAAAACTATATCAAATTCAATGTCGCTGGTGTTACCTTATGACATATTTTTTTTACAAATTATAAGGCAAAGGTTAATTAATTCCAACGGAATGTATATAAAAATGAATACGAGTATTTTAGTCTTTCTTGTATTGATACTTGTTTCGTCAGTATCCAATGGCACAACATATAATCACTGGAAGTTATAAAGATAATTTCATCAATTTGCTTAGTCATATCTGGTCTACAGATGAAGTTGTACGGCTGCTTTTGAATCTTGTATGGGAGCTCTTGTCTCAAAATGAGTTTCAACAACGAATGATATTGAATCAATTGATTTGCATACAGCATTAAGAGAAAATATTACTAAATATGAACCTGCAGACAAACTTGCTGTCCAACGCCAGCGTACAAGCTTTCTGGAGAGATTTAACGATCGTATGAGAATGATTTTGAGAAAACAGGTAAACAACAAAAATGGAGACAACATGTTCAAATAAAACAAACCCGTCGGATATCGTTGTCAACATAACCGATGACATGGAAAATAAACCGTAAAACAGGTTCACTTGTCACTGCTGTTGTTTAGGTAAACGCTACATAAAAGATTATGAAATTTTCAGAATTAACTGTATACATTTTACTACATGTATAAAGGTGCTTTGAAATCATAAACGCCTCATAATATTGAATGTAATTTAAAACATCTACTATTATTACATATCAAAATTGATAATAGAAGGGGGAATCATTGATATGCAGTTGTTTGAATATTTCCTAATTATCTTTTTACTTTAGTAAATTTCAGACATGTTAGGTTTAGACGAGTTGAAAACGAACAAAACGTAGTTTTTTGCCAGATTATGCAAAAAGAGCAGGGAAACCGTAACATTCAATGGGATATCAGGTGATTCGATGCAAATTTAAGGTTTACAAATACGAAAATTAATTTAGGAACTATAAATACTGGATTGTTTCTTAAGAAAACTAACTGTTTCATAAGTGTCTAGAATAATTACTCATTTGGATATTTGCATTTTAAAAAAGTATATGTCTGTCCTGTGGTCCGCAGAAAATGTCAGTGAAAAGGGGGGGAAATCATCTTTGACGTCATTTTGCGAAATATTTGGCGGGACAACCCTATATATAAAGACCAGTTTAATGTGACAGGCATGCCATTCTTCTTGAAAAATCATATCATTAGCATGAATACTAAATTTTAAGGCTGGTTTAGTGGTCATGTCTTATAATATAAGTCTATGGGAAAATTAATACAGTAATCTGACCATATAAACCCTTATCAGTTAATATAATATTGTCTCTATTCTCACTTTTTAACTGATAGTCATTATTATAATGTGTATAGATATTACGGCTCTGTCCAATTTACATTTTAGTTATATTGATAGGAATAGTGTGTGTTTCATTTGTTTCTACATCAATTCACATCTGAATATGCTCAGATATAGCATCTGGGATACAAATAATTGTCAGTAAGCCAGATTGCATGAAGAAACTTTTAAAATAGTTTGCAGAAAGACAGCAGCAATTTAAAAAGCACTACATTCAACACCAAGTAGTTTTTAGTAACAGAACGAAAGGTAAAATAATCTTTATATGAGTGGATTAAATTTTCTTAATAAAATTTATTTCTCTTCTTTTTCTTTGGTTATAAAATAACGCATAAATTAATTAAAGTCTATAAAACCCGGCCTAGCAGTAGATCTTTGTTACTCGACACGGTTGTGAATGTATTGTAACAATTCATGCTCCACACAAAAACATTTATTTTGTAACTGTTCATAAAGTTTAAGATTGGTGATAAAAATTGATATAAATTATTATTGATTTCTTGGAGAAGATTTATCAGATCGGATATAATTACAATACAATACAATACTCTTTATTGGTAAGTCAGGTTACAAACATGGCGATTTATCTAAAATATTAACAATATGTGGGTTAGATCATATATTAGTTAGCTAGTTATCAATATAAGGTAAATGAGCTTACACACCTCCTCTATTGTTTGTGACAGGTCTATATTTTTCGGATAGACCTGTTTAAACAAAAGAAAGTCCGTTATGAAGTCTATCTTTTGCACGTGCACAGGTCTGTTCTAGTTAGACAGACCCGGTCATGAAAAACAAGTGAAAAAAATAGACCTGCCTATGCGCAGACAAAGAAAACATGAAACGCAATAAACGCAATTAACAAAATGAATTAAAATGTAAATGATTATCATAATGTTCCTGTCTTACAAATTCGGGATACATTTTTTAAACATGATGATGTTTATTGAATGCACTAAGCAATTATTCCAGCATCCCTATATCAGATCTTTGAATAACAAAAATAATGTATAGCATATCAAAGTTAGGACACATTTGACATTTATTAAATCGCGTATCTAACTGTTTTTTCGGTTAAAAAAATGGACGCTTCAAGTTCATTCATATGAAACTATAGCAGTAATCAAAGCATACTTATTACGATTTTAAATCACCTAATCCATAACAATTTTAACGTTCTAGAAATTCACAGTACATAAAATTGTACCAAAAATTCATATCGAAAAAATATACCAAAAATATGTCCATTTCACAACTTTTCACCATTTCATATACGCTTTGCATTAGGAACCGCAGCTACCCACAGTTAAAAGAAAAGTCTCTGGTAGCATTCCCACCCGCGGGATCAATCAGATTGTTTAATCCCCGTTAACCCCCGCCCTCTTTCTTTGAGTTAGGCTTTATCCTGTTTTTCTATTAAACCGGAGAAAAATCATAACTGATTTCCCCTGAAAACTAGATGTGTGAAGTTGGCGGCCCAGCGGCCCAGCCGCCCAGCGGCCCAACTTCACACATCTCTGAAAACTTTCAAAGCCAGGGCTTAGTTTCAAAGAATGCTACACAACAAGGTTAAAGAAAATTTGTATTGATAGAATCCAAACCTTGCTTATAGTGACATGCATGTACAAGTACTTAATGTGGATTAGTCTACAATGGGCACATCTTCTATTATTATTTCAAATATCGATAGAAACGATAGAAATGTATTATTCGGATATCATTAAAAATTTCTTGAAAAAGAAATGTCATTAAAGTAATTAGTGGTTTAGTATTAAAAATGTTATGATGAACAATCATATTTTATTCTAGAAGACTGTATAATCTGCTATATAAAATATAGTTTCGGTTCATGTATCTCACACTTGCCAACAATATACATATGTTAGTCTTTCGTGGTCTGCTGGATATTCGGACATTACCCTTCGGACAGTTGCCACCTCGGAAGGGTCCCCCTCTTTGCAGTGGCTGTCATTTGCCCCCCCTCATATCTTTGGAAGTGTCGGACATTTC